GCAGGATAAAATAGGGTCTTTCATTATACAAACAGTATGTTTGCAACTCTCATTTGTTCCTGTCACATGGATTTGCTCCCTTTACCCCAAGAGCTTGAATTTATTTCTGAGAAAACCCCCAATCCATGTGCATGGCATGTAAAACACCAGATGTGTTTTACTTGTACATGCATGTATTTATAGATTATTTGCCACCACGGAAATAACTTCTGTTTCTTCCAGAGTATGCATTTCTAAATAACTGGGTTTACTATTCATTCAAATGAGACTCTGCATTTGAATCTTTTGTGATGAAAGATGTTAAATTGACTCACAGGAAATTTTAAAAAGCCTCTTGAAAAGCTCCATTACGCTTTTACTTGGAAAAGAAATACTTTGCATATAATGAACTTCCTAGTTCATTGTATGTGCTTTCAAAGGCAGTCCTTGAGGATACTTTTCATTATGTCAGACCACAATCAGTTAATAGCAGAATTCAGAGCTACTTTCCAACCATAGGAGGAAAACGATCAACACAATAATTTTTTTTTAATATGAAAAAGTCTCTTTTCTAAATGATATCTGAATATCTGTATATATACTGCTCATGTGGTTTTCTTTCTGTCATTGACTGTGCTTTAACAGTAGAAGAACTTTAGGGTAAAGTTCGTAGGGACAATACTTCACAGTATCATAAGGTATGCAGTCTCTGGGTTTTAGTCCTGCAAAGAAGAGAATTTAAGGAGGGTTTTCTTCAGCATTCACACTGCTGCAGCAATTTCTCCCTTAAAAACATGAATAGTATATGATTTTCTGCTGTTGATTTATCCTTCTTGAGTAAGCAAGCAAATTAGTTTTAGGATATGGTATCCTTCACTTTCTATCTGACTTATGGAGAAAAGCCAGCAACTGGGGAAGAAAGGCACACCTATACAAAAGCAAACTATATTTGGACATTATAGCATAATTGAAAGTGTCAGGACTTCTGTATCTCCTTACTAGAAGGTAATTTCTATGCGAGTCAGGAGGAGGACAGTGTTACAGTTTATTTCTATCCCTCAATCTGTAAGGAGGAGGAGATATGCTACCCTTGAAGAGTTCCAAGGTATCACATGTATATATCAAAACAGGGGGACAAAAAGCTGGAAATAGAATGCCAACTCAAAACCAATAGCATTATTTTTGCAGCATTGTCAGTTTGTACAGTGCACGGTGTTAGCTAGATGTTTTGATGATTTGTTACTCTATGACTTCTTGGAGAATTCTACAGGGATTTTTTTCTCTCCAATTTTATTAGGTAAATTGAGCACACCAAAACTATCTCCTGAAGAATATTAAAAATGTCCCCTATTTAAGTTTAAAAAAAAAAACCCAAAAACTACTAGATAGCTTGTTTGGTTTTATTTTTATTTTTAAGGCATTTCAAATCAGTCATCTTTGGTTTATATTATCTCAGATTCTTGCTTTCACTATTTATTTTCAAACTACGAATTTGTTGTTTATGCATACATTAAACTGGTCTTGTACATTACTACAGATCAATCCTCTTTTTCCTGTGCATTGTATGTTTATATGGGGTTTTTTTGCAGTGTATTTTTTAGGCTTATTTACTGCTCTCTTAGTCCTTTTTCATAAACAAACAAACCCCCTCAGCTTAACAAAGATGTTTGCTCACATAATAAATGTTTTACTGCTCTGTCCTTATCTGTGTTGTTTTTTTGCCCTAGAGAGGATGAGCATGCCCTTATCCAGCAGTATTGTCAGACGCTGGGAGGAGAGTCGCCTGTGAGTCAGCCACAGAGTCCTGCTCAGATACTCAAGTCAGTGGAAAAGGAAGAGCGAGGAGAGTTGGAGCGCATCATTGCTGACCTTGAAGAAGAGCAAAGGTCTCATAATCATTCTCCCTGGTGTCTAAATTGTTGCCTCATTGTTGTTTGAGCTATTCATGTACTATGTGTAGTTGTTGGAAATGAGAAGAGATGGACCCAGGAATCATGATTTTAGCAAAAAAAATTGATCAAGGCATATGTCGTGCATAGCCTGACTCTGTTAGGTAGAAGACGGTGGGTCTGTGATAAAATACCTTAGTTTCACCTCTTCTCTATTATGTTTTTTCCCATCTACCACAAGTAAAGACATTGTCTTTATATGAGCTACTTGTGTTCTTAGTTGGAGGTGATAACATCATTTGATCTCAGGAGGTTTTTTATTTTAATTTGCTTTATTAAGTCATCATTCTCCTCCTCTTTTCAATATACCAGGAGTCTGCAGATAGAATATGAGCAACTAAAGGAGCAACATCTTCGGAGAGGAATAAACCCTCTTGCATCACCTCCTGACTCCGTTGTGTCACCTCAGCATGCTTCTGAAGATGCCGAGCTCATTGCTGAAGCTAAACTCCTGAGGCAACATAAAGGTCGCCTGGAAGCAAGGATGCAAATATTGGAAGATCACAATAAACAACTGGAGTCTCAGCTTCACCGACTAAGGCAGCTACTTGAGCAGGTAGATAGATGGGCACTGATGTCTTTTCCTTGTGTTGCTTCCGCATGATGGATTTCTTGGTAGAACAAAGGCGTTGGAATTTTACTGCAGATATTTTCATTGTGCTAGCTTGGTCTGTTGGACTCGGTCATTTCTAACGCAAAGAGGTATTTTTTCCTACCCTCTAGTACAAGCCACGGTGAAAGTCAAATGAGCACAAGATGGTTAAAAGTGCTGGAGTGAACATTGTAAGTTATGAAACATTGAGAATAACACAAACAAGCGCAATAGTTTTTCATGAGTTAAAAAGCAGGGGGAAGAAAATATATGCCCTATTTCAAGTAGTGGTGCCAGTCACACCCTGTATTTGACTTCAGTTTTCCAATCTTTCCTTAAATAATTTATTTGTTGTCACAGTTAGTCACTGAAACCTTTCTTAGTATGCCAAAGACAGATGGCCAAAGATACATCTAAAATGCAAAGGAGCAATTCATTAGAATAAAAATCCAGTTCCTCTTGAGTAGCATATTTAGACCAATAAGCTACAGCAAAACGGTCTGCACACAAGGAAATGCTGAAGGCAAGAGCCTTTTAGCAAATGTCAGTAGCTTGAGATTGTGGGCTTGCTTTGTTGGGGGAAGAAATGTTGATTTTTTTGAAGTCAGCATACACACATCTAGGTTATAAACATAACAGCAACAACTTCTACAAGGTGTTGTTAGAGATGTTAGTTTGTACTGTATCATGTGTGAAAGCTTGAGTGATGAAGAGAAATTTGTATGAATGTTTTCTGCTGTGTAATCATTTTGGGTCAGAGTACACTAAGGCAAATGATTCCTGTCTTCCACGGGTCAGGCTGTACATAGTAGAGAATTTAACTAAGCCTAGAAACAGGCCGCATAAACCAGGTATCAAAATGGCGTAAGTTCCTGCTGTAGATGATACTCTCATTACAGTGATGAAGATATTTTTTGTTTGTTTGTTTCACTGGCTGACTTAGTCATTTTTCTAGGCAGTTCTGGCTGAATAGCATTAAGATGCATCTGTTCCAATGGCTTCCTTACCCGCTAGCAGAGTATTTTTGTTGTTGTTACTGTTATTCTAGCATCTTTAATCAGTATTTGAGTAGCTTAAATATTTAACAGGAAAGATAACAACTGGTGCAACTGTTAACAATAATTCATGAAGTAAGTATCTTGAGAACCGTGGCCAATACTAGGTGTTTCAGAGAAGGGTTTATAATCTGCAAGTAAATAGCTATAGAATAGAAACACAGAAGTTCTGCCAAACTCACAGTCCCTTTCAGCTTAGTGCTTAAAGCAGGAACCTGTTCACCCTTTAAAATGTTCTTTTTTTTTTTCTAACGTAGCTGTGGATAATCTTATAATTTTGTAATCTTTTCAGTATCCTTACAATATTCTTAGTAAGACCTTTAGGGTATACATGTGCGTTGTGATAAAGTGGGTAAGCAGAGGGGCAGTAGTTTCTTCGTATCAGTTTTGCCTTTGGATTTTTCTGGGCATTATTGTGGTTTCTTATAGGGTAAGGTAGAACAGAGTTGCCCTTTTTCAACATTTCTGATCATTTACACCTCATTTACTATATACTGTTGCTCTTTTGCTTCATATCCAAAATCTCCTGCCTCTGTGGGAGTCACGTCATGCTTCTGATTGTTCCAAGTGCCATTTCCTAAGCTGTTCCTGTTTCTCCTCTGTCTTTTAATGAAGTGGCTGGTACAAAGTCAAGTATATGAGAAGGTCTCCGTTATTGCTTTTATAATACATCTGTGACTTTTCAATATGCGTTTCTATATGCATCCTTACTTTATTTAGCATGACCGCTC